CAGTCAAGAAAGCTGCTCAAGATGCGGGAATACAAAGGGAATCCAAACTCGCCAAGCGAATCGCTCTTCTAGTCTTCAGCAACGTATTTTTCTTCTTTTTACCGGTTTTTTCTCTTGGATTAGTCTCAATCTTTGACAAAAATTATAAAGCTGCCGGTTCTTCAAGAACGAATAACATAGTTAAAAAACTTTTTTCCGACTGTTTTCCGTTATTGTGCTTAAGTCTAAATTCCTGCATCAATCCTATTTTGCATGCCTTTCGAAATGATAGCTTTCGTGAGGTCCTTAGCAGAAGATTCACTGGATTGTTCGCCAGAATAAGATCCTTATCGAATCGTGTTTCACCTGGGATTCAAAGAAACTCCACGGAATCGGATTCGAGTCGAGAACCCGATATTCACCCGAACCGCAGCCAACTTTCCGGGGAAAATAACCCGAACGTCAACCGTGTTAGTAATAAGATAATTTAAGGTTTCGTTTTGGGTTGACTTTATTGCTGTCTCTCTGTCGTATCATTGGATGCTTTTGCATTATTATGAAGCATAAAGAATTCGAAGAAAATTGGAGCGGCTAATCATTGTAGCAAAAAATAAAAATCCGCCGGCAATAATCGAATTCGCTCATGATTTTGTATAAGAAAGGCCTAAGAGGCAAAATTAACAATGGTATACTTCATTTGCCGAAATATAGCTCTGTTTCTACTGCTACTGCTACTGCTACTGCTACTGCTACTGCTACTGCTACTGCTACTGCTACTGCTACTGCTACTGCTACTGCTACTGCTTCAACTCACCGAACTCATGATCCCGGCATGCCTTCTTCAGCATGTGATCCACATCTAAACTCTCAATGTTACAAGAACTGCATCCATCTAAACAAAAACCAATAACACAGTTTATTTAGAACTGTTGAAGAAATAGAAAACGCGAGCGCGTGATGCATGCAGTTATAAATCACGTGGGGGTTGGCAGAACACGAGAGAAGTGTTAGAAGAAGCACGACGCGTAGCGTTAGATAGGAATAACGCAACTGAAAGTGCGCGCGCGTGCTGTGTGCTCTCATAAAGCACGCGCTCCCGCCGATCAGAACGCGAGATTTCTAACAGTTATTATGTATATACATTTTTTTTGCTTGACTAGAGAACCCTTTGTACAGGTTTGTAATAGTAAGGTTAAGTTGCTTAAGAAGAGCAGAGCATACTAGTGTCAACTTTAATGTAAATAATATGCATCATTAATAATAAATAATTCTCACGGGCGATTAATGGTATCTATGAAAAGGTATCTCATAAACGAGGCTAAACTGTATAAATGAATCTGTGGTAAGCAAATAAAGGCGGTAATTCTCTCACTTTCTCTCTCTGTATCGATCGAATTAAATAGGCGTAACTCATCACCTAGCTATAACTAAGGGACTTTAAGATTTRCAAAATCTACGACGGCGACGTCAACCGGAAGTGTAAATAATTTCTCTTTGGGGTTCTGTTCATTGGAGATTTCATTCAGAACATTGTCAGTAAAGTCAACTCATCCACATATACTTTGACTTTGAAGACTTTTGAATCTTAAAGTCCCTATTATATCCTTGCATGGGTGAGAGGTTTTGTAGTGAGTAACAGGGACCTTAAGCTGCAGGACGGCAACGACGCTGATTTTCGTTCGAAGTAAAGCCATTCCAAGAGACGTCATTTCACTCTAAAACGGGGGTGCTTATTGAGTAAAATACTAGACAAACATGAAATAATAATACAATAGAAAGTTGAAGCGCCTCAATTTCGCCGACGTTGTCGCCCGTGTTGCCGTCCTGCAACTTAAGGTCCCTAATGAACAATGGGACGTGTGCCGTAACGGTGAGAGCGCTCGACTCTCACCAAGGCGACCAGGGTTCAGGATTCTTGGGCTCGTTGTCGTATGTGAGTAGAGTTGCTTGTTGGTTCTCTCCTGTGCTTCGAGGATTTTTCTTCGGGTTTTCCGATTTCCCTCCCTCCGTAAATGATCAACTTCTAAATCCCGATTGGAATCCAGTAGAAGAAGAGCCACTATTTGAAATCCACTGTTAATTCCCAATTCTTTTATTATTTCTTTTATTTTATGTGTTAAGAGGAAATTTTTTTCAATAATGAGCAATAATGGCAAAAAACGCCAAAAACTAGACTTTCGTATGAGTTTCGATCCCAATTTTCGTTTTGGGTTAACACTCAAAACCTTTTTTAAACTGTTAGAAACCAATGTACCATGATAAAATGCCTGTTTGAAGCGGTATTTTCAATTGTACAAAGATGTTTTGTTGTATTTGTGTTAGAATGTTGCTTTGTCAGGCTTTTTTTATAGAAAATGTATGAGAAAAAAGCAAATGAAGGCCTAAACCTCATTTTCGAATAAAATCTTTGCTTTGGGTAACACTTTGATTCCACTTTCATCGGTCATCTCCTTTGCATCGAAGCGAGACGAACGGTGAGCTTGCAATGATAGAGACCTGTGAATAATTGTCCAAGGTGTTAAAAAAGGTATCTATCATTGCAAGCTCACCGTTCGTCTCGCTTCGATACAAAGGCTCGGCTACCTTTCAAGTTGGCGCAGGGAACTGTGAAGGGGACTATTCTCTTTTAATCTTTAGTTACATACCCTGTGTGCATTTACACTGTTCGCCTTTGCAGATCCCAAGTCTCAGTTCACTCTTGACGTCTGGCGAGTAAAACTTTGTACAAGAATCTCCTTGGAGGATATAAAAAGATGAAAACAAGTTCATCATTAGCATTCATAGTTGCTATGTGCAATAGTTACTATACCACTAAAAGCTCACAGTAAAATCCTATGGCCGTTCAAGTAAAGAAATAAAAAAGAAGCGCGCGTGATGTGTGAAGTTATGAAGCACGTGGGGATAAACAGAAACAAGAGAAAAGTGTTAGGAGAAGCATGAGGCGTAGCGGAGTACTTCTCAACACTTCTCGAGTGTTGAGTCAATCCCAAAGTGCTTTATAACTACATTATAAAATACGAATTACAATACCGTTATCATTAAAAAAATGACAATATAGAATGTGAGCGCGTGTGTTGTGTGCTCTCATAAAGCTCGTCTTCCCATCCCCTAAAATTCGAGATTAATATTAGTTAATTTATATATCAGGGTTAAATAGGTTTTGAATGCCACGATGTTAGGGCGTGAAAAAAGATAGAAAATATTGCGAGCGTCGAAGATAAGGGCACGTGTCTGAATCCCCGATGTGCGCAAGATTGCTGAGTTCGCCTTTGCACAGGCTTCCCCTCGATTGTATACAAATGTGTACTTTTCTTTCATTAAGGTCCATTGTATAGTAAGGAATGTACGTACTACGGAACAATACGAGTTGATTAAAATTCCACAGGTTTAGGCTAAATGGCTGAATATTATAACGCACAACCGAGACTAAGGCTGAGCAAAGAGAACTCGAAACTGGAGTATTAATTGCGCTGTTTCATAATGACGTCACATCAAAACAAACTATTGTTTTAGCGCTAGGGATCATGGTCGCTGAAGGGGTATGGAATGACAACAACACATCTTAAATCACAATGAAATTTGGTTTATGAGCTGGTGAAGGCAAGAACAAAGAAAAGAATTAAGCTTAAATGTAGCCTAAATTTTTTATCATTTTAGCCGATGTAAACAACCCGTGACGTCATTATGAAATAAGGCTATTGAAGGGTCGACTTTACCTGGTTCATAGTAGTCATAAACCTTGATTGGCACAGGCTGGACAGCACCAACGCCGAACACACGATTGACTTTGAAATGCGCACAGAACTCTTTGCTACTGAAAACCTGTTAAGGATAAAGTCAGTCAGTATTGACAAATGAACAGGGACCGAATGAACGCAGCAATTAACGTCCAGAAAAGAAAAGAACTACAACATCGATGATTAAAAGTGCAAAAGCGAAACTATAATACTAATAGTAGTAAAAGAAGTATTAGTAGGAGAACAAAAATACAAACTACAACAACAACAACACAATTATAATTGCAGGAGCGACACTATAATACCAATAGTAGTAAAAGAAGTATTAGTAGGGGAACAAAAATACAAACTACAACAACAACAACACAATTATAATTGCAGGAGCGACACTATAATACCAATAGTAGTAAAAGAAGTATTAGTAGGAGAACAAACAAAAAACTATCAAAATAGTATCAACGAGAGTAGCAACGACACAGTAGCAATGCAAAAACTACAAGAGCAACAGCAGTAGAAGCAATAATTTTATACAATATTTATTGCAGTACCCAATTGTACGAAGGGTGGATAGCGCTATCCGACGGATAAATTTTATCCACTGGATAAAGTGATGCTGTTATCCAATAACTTTTATCAACTGGATAAGATTTATCCGTCAGACAGCGCTATCCACCCTTCGTACAACCGGGCCCTGAAGAACAAAACCAGTTTAGAGACAGCACTCTTGCATGTAGACTGAATAACATATTACCTCACTGATGTACAAGACGATTGAACGATCAGATATCTCGAACCTGTCCACCGTTGGCTGGACGTTTTTCTTGAGCTGAAAGAAACAATAACAAACGACTAAAACATAGATAGAGACAAAGACTTTTGGGACTCAGTTTTCATTTGGGCCAAGGAATTTCTTATATTATATGACTTACATGTTTGGACGACGTAGGTTGAGCAGCTTAGCGGAGCGGGGTTTTTTTTGGTAACGGAAGGCTTGGGAGATGTGTGAATTAGATCGAATTCAAACCCCATTGATCAAATAACGCCATAAAAGTGTTCAAAACACAAGATTTTTATAATTAATACATGAAAAATATGGGCCAAATTATGAAAACCTGCAGGTTTAAAAACCCTAAAAAGGACTAAAACTGTAATGTAATTTAGAAATGTAATGATTAACGAATAGAATGATGATAAACCTCGTATTTCTAGTTCTATTTACAAACGTACCTCAATAAGAGACTTCTCGTCTGGCTCGAATCCAGTAAAGATTCCAATGTCCATTATTGTCATTCCGGATTTTCCAGGCTTACGAAACCTTGAAAAATGAGTTCAAAAATTTAGTTAGCAATCTGTGTATAATAGAAAAAATTATTTTATTTATACGGGGTAGGCTTTAAAGTTAGAAGCTTGTGGGGCCGTGCATCGTCCATACGCACTCCTTACTACATTCAAATATTCTATACACACACAACGTTCGACTCACATGTTAATTTTTACGAAAGAGGAACCCGGAGAAAAAC